ACCTAGTGGTTAAGCTATACTGGCCTCTCACCGCTGTGGTCCGGGTTCGATTCCTGGGCACGGACCATATGTGAGTTTGAGTTTGTTTGATGTGTTGTTCTCTCCCTTGCCACGAGGGTTTTTCTCCGGGTCCTCCGGTTTTCCTCCCTCAGTAAAAATCAACATGTGAGGAGTGTTGTGTGCTAAAATAATTAATGTAGAGGTAGTGAGTGTGAGTGTGAGGGCCAAAAGTTCATCAGTTCTTTACTGTCACGTGTTACCCTCGTAAAATAAAGTCGATTTATTTATTTATTTATTTATTTATTTACGTATATTAGGAAATTATTCAATAAATATTAGGATAGATATAAAATGATGACAAAGGTGTTCCTCAGTATGAAGCCTTTAGCTCGTTAATAATCTGATCGATATCTAAAAAATCGTCTGCTCTTTCTAAAATCTCGAGAGAGATGCTCTTAATCAGTGTCTTGGAAGGATCATGCCACCCTCCATCAGATTTATGATAAGCTTCCAAGAATAATTGACAAACTAATTCAGGGAAGAGACCAGTTCGCCGGACACTGTTTCCCCGCTCAAAAAACGAGGTCATTCCGTCTTAACTATACCCTCATGTGTTAGCTAGGGATACCGAGATAGACGTTAGAGATCCTCCCTGTGGCCATGTCCGACCGTGGTGTGTGGAAATCTGTTGTACACTCACTCCCGGTCGAGGCCGCAGGATGATCATGATGATTGTGAAKGAAGATATAAGGGGAAAACTAATATGCAAATTAGGTCACGTGCTCTGTTTCATCAAATAGCTCTTAAAATACTTTTTGTTTACAACGCATTAAAAGTCGTAGTTGTAAAGATCTCATAWAAAGCAACRAAGCTGTATATCAAACATGTAAATCGAAGGAGCCATTTTATTCCCTATTTTTGAATCGAAAATTTCAAGCCAAATAACATATTTATCTTGTCACGTGACACTCCTACAAAGTTAAAAAAATCAAATAAAGGTTCGATTTTGCTGAGCTTGATAATACAAACCAATTGATTAATGATTTTAAGAACGAATAATAGATTATTTGAGGTTTATTGAATATACCTGAGCAGGTTTTACATGTAATATTTTCTCAATTCCACTGTACTAATAGGTATAACATTATAAATAATAATTATCACTAGTTAACATCGCCATTCGTCTTATACTACTCACACATGCGCAATCAAATGAATAAAGACGAAAACGGACGAAAACTAAAAGTTAGTGAAGACTTACATTTCAGTACCAAAGGGGTCCGTAGACCGTAGCACTCGATGCTTGAAATATACTCACAGATACTCAGTACAGACTTTATCATTTCGAGCTACTTTCTATTGAGAATACGAGACATATTCTGGATTTTTTTTATTCTAATTTTATCAATATATGTTCTCGCTTGGCACTCTAAGAGTTTTTGACTTTTTTATCTATTATTGATGACAATTAAGCGCTTTCATGATGTGCCTGTCCAGCAGCTATCTCAGACTGATCGGTCGATAATTAAATTATCTGTTCCAATTGTCGAAGAGCTGAACAGAAAAAATGGATGCAATCTGCTCTATAAAAGATACATAACGCTTTATATAATTGAGAATACACTTTGTTTGTTTGTTTTTTGTTTGTTTCTTTTTGTTTTGTTTTGTTGTTTTTTTTTGACCGGGAGTCAACAATGCAAAGCATACGCACTTTAAATTGCAGGCCTGAATCTTAATTATCACATTCTCAACGGGTTGCTCTCAAAATTAACAGTTTTAATCATTTGTTTTTGTTTTAATTTTGTCTCAATTCCGCTTTACTAAAAGTATAACACTTTAATATATACTCTTATTGTTTAAAAGCATTCTTTATTTCCGATAATTTAAAATTCTAGCTGAAGCCGGGGAGGATATTGAATTCAGCAGTGAAGAGTGGGGTTGCTGTGGCACGGTCTTGAAAATGCAGTGACTTTATTCTTATTTTAAAAAGTCTTATTCTTATTTATTTTTTCCCGCACGTCGCAGTTTAGCGAAGTCGGGACCCCAGGTTCGATCCTCGACTCGAAAACATAATACTTCTTTTATTTCTTCTTTCTTTCTTTCTTTTTAATAGATATAGTTGTTCTAGTCATGTTTATTTCTTCCTGTAGATATTTGTTTTATTATTATTTACGAGCCGTTTTTGTGACGAAAAGCCTTATGGGGTCTCTCGTGATCACTTTGTCATCGTGTTTAATTGCGCGRACCGTAACCATCCAGTTGTAGCAGGCGTTCCTTGCGAGGCCTTGATATGTCATTAATTAAACATACTAGTTAAAAAGAGAAAATCCGAAGAGTAACAACTTAGCTTTATTAGCTTGGTAATTGTTATGATTTGGTAATTTTGTTATTTTAGGACTCTCTTTTCTCGGATTTTCACGAACTGCTAGATTTCAAATTTTTGATGGCGACACGCGAAACATTCATCATTTCCCATGTTTCTTTATTTAGGTTTTAATTTTGTCTCRATTCAGCTGTACTAAGTATAACATTATAATTAATAATTATCACTAGTTAACATCGCCATTTGTCTTATACTCACACATACGCAATCAAACGAATAAAGACAAAAACGGACGAAAACTAAAAGTTAGTGAAGACTTACGTTTCAGTACCAAATGGCGCCCGTGGTCCGTAGCACTCGATGCTTGAAATATACTCACAGATRCTCAGTACAGACTTTATCCTTTCGAGCTACTTTTTATTGAGAATACGAGAAATATTCTCACGCACTTTAAATTGCAGGCCTGAATCTTATCAAATTCTCAACGGGTTGCTCTCAAAACTAACAGTTTTACTAATTTGTTTTTGTTTTATTATTGTCTTTTGTTTTTGTGAAAGCAGGACATTTGAAAATAAAGCAGTCCACCAAAGTTGTTTCTCATCATGAAAAAAGATTTGCAAAGATATTTACCAAGGTGTTCATTTATAAATTGACTTAAAATTAAGAAATGAAATTATCAAATACATATGTTGGAGTGACACATAGTGCTACTAGTATTTTACATCATGTCAATGTCGTAAAATTAACATTCATGTTCTAAAAATAACTATAAAATGGTGTCATGAACCATTTCAACAATATTTCTTAACTTGGAAATTTAATTCTGACTTGGTATGTTAACTTTCTTTTCAGTATTATTCTATTTTCTCGGATTTTCACGAACTGCACAAATTTTTGATGGCAACACGAAAAACACTCTTCTCATGTTTTTTTTATTCAGGTTTCAATTTTGTCTCAATTCCGCTAAAAGTATAACACTTAAATATGTACTCTCATTGTTTAAAAGCATTCTTTATTTCCGATAATCTAAAATTCTAGCTGAAGCCGGGGAGAATTTTGAATTCAGCAGGGTAGAGTGGGGTTGCTGTGTCTTGAAAATGCAGTGACTTTATTCTTGACTTATTATTAAAAAAATCTTATTCTTATTTATTTGCATAATCATTATTCAGTGGATTTATTATTTTATGGGGGTAAGGTAGCCTCCTCCGCAGCCTTGACAAAGAATCACGGGCTTCCTGTMTTTTTTGGGAATCAAAAGAGGGAGAATGGGGCCGAGAGAGGGGAAGCCTGGGGTCCTCCTCTTTTATTTTTCCCTTCTCCGTCACTAGTCCCTAACTAGTCACTAGGCCCCCCTAGCCTCCCCTGCTCCGCGGTCCATGTATTATTGAGATTGTTGTGCAATAAGATTTATCTTATAGCTTCTTTTCTAAAATACTTAGGATACTACGCGCGCTGTGATTGGTCGAAAACCATGTTTGATTACAGTATCAAAACACGATCGCAAATTTCTTTTATTCTTTTAATTTTAGAAAAGAAATAAAAGACGGAATTCCATGTTTGATACTCTGATCAAAACACTTGGGATGTAGGGAGAGCACTCGAAAAGCTGGAAACCACTCCGTTACGCGTCGTGGTTCCCTACGCTTCTCTCGTGCTCTCCCTACATCCCGCGTGTTTTGATCAGAGTATCAAACACGGAATTTCGTCTTTTATTCCTTAAATTAAACTCGTTTCACCGACGCAGCTCACACTAGTTTACCGCTAGTTTCCACTATTTAGGATTAATAAGTGGACACATAAATAAAACTTTTATTCCCTCGACTTCCCATTGACTGTGCATGTGCTGTTAAAACAGTCCATGCAGTAAGTGACTGTGCATGAATARTTACCAGGAGGGGGCGTGCCCTAAAATCAGATTTCTAAAGTAGAAAATTAAGTCAGAACCCCATTAGTATGTATATTCGTTTCATAATGCCTAATGGATTTTTCATAAAAAAATAACCTAAGCAAGCTTTAGCTAGCAGATTAAAAATGATCAGTGTTGTCAGGATAAAACCTTCTTAATAATACTGAAAAAGTAATTTCAATATCATGTTAATTGTCAGTTAAAGTTGTTTTTGACATTTGCTACAGTTCAGTTGACCTTGCTCTCATGGTTCAATTTTACACCGTGATACARTTATTCACCTTCATGACATACAGTTGTGGTTGTTTGAGGTACGTTCATAAGAAGACCGCTGGCCGTATAAATAGCCGTTTGGCCGTGAGACGTAATTTCAATGGCGGACGAGAAAATTATCGCATATTTTTCAAACTTCCCGTTGGAATATCGGGATAAAATCTATACCAGTTATTAACAAAGTAGTATAGACTATTTTGGGAAAGTTTCAAGTCTCTACGAAAAAGTGTCATTTTCGTCCAAGTTGCACTTTAAGACCATAAAAGATAAAGAGAATAATGAAAATCTTGAAAAAAACTTAAGCCCCCCTAATTAGGTAATTTAACGTTCAGCCCCCCTCCCCCCCCTATCTTGGCATTAATTTTATGTAATGCCCCCTCCCTCTCTCCTGTGGTTACACACTAACATCTCCCGCGTTTCTTGGCACTCAAAAAGTTGTCAGCTGACATGAGACAACCAATCACAGTATGTGTATGTAAATGAGAACTACGTTCAAGCTCGACTGTTATTTTTTTGCGGTTGTTCTACTCTGAGGAAAGAAAAACACTGCAAAATTGTCGCTAAAATGAATTTCATAGAAGTAACCTGACTTGGTGGACTTTCGCCTCTTTAGAGGCGGGATTAAAGTCCTCTAGATTGAATAATAGCGACATAAAAAGCCTTGTTTATAGTGGATGAGCCGTTTCGGAAGAACTTCAAAAACATGACTGCGGGGTTTTGGTTTTACAAATCCATTATGAAGTGCTATAATGGCTGTTTATAACGTCTGCTGAGATGTTGTCATTAAGGCAAAGAATCAAAGAGAAGTGGACCAAAACAGAATCTAACTTAACAGAACAGAAAGATGAGCGCGAGGTTCTGCGCTCTGAAGAACATCAACGAACAGAAAGTATTCCTTCGAGGGACACGGCTAGCTCTCTGGAGACGAGAAATGTGGAAGAAATGCCTGTTGAATATTTGCATTTCATTGTTGATTTTATCGGCTCTTCAACCATCTCGGAAGCAAAGTCAGTTCAAATTCTTTCCGAGACGTTGAAGCGAGTTAAAAAGCAAAAGCTGCGGACCATTCGAGTTGACTTCACAATCATAGATGGAATTCTTAAAGTTCGTTGTGTTGAATCTAACGCTCTTTTACTAACTGCTCCACTTTACGCTGTTGCTCTTTGTGCCCAAGAACAACTTCGAGGTTTTGAAAAATGCTTCGCACTCAATATTACTCGCAAGAAACTGCACATGTGTCATGTGTTTGAAGCACGCTCACGGCTCGAGGTAAGACCATTGTTTACGATCTAAAATTTTCATGAAAAATCAAAAAGGGTTATTGTTATAACAATAGCTTATTCTTCAAAAGTGTAGGTTTCTAGCATAAAGTTCATTCACAATCATTACTACTGCTCACACTTCGCCCGTGACAAAAAAGGTTGAAGTTCAATAGACATTTCATTGTCCGAGATCTAGCCTATTTTGTGGTTGCCTATTGTGTTTTTCAACTACTTTTTAAGAGTTTTTTTTCTTCTCTTTCTGGKGTATAAGACTTACGTACACACTAATTGAGCTTGTGATTTTTTTAACAATACTGTGAAAAATGTGAATTTTCTGGCAGTCTTCTCTTAAATTTTCCAAGGTTATGAACTAAAATCTGTCGACATCAAAATGACAACAATATTATAAGGAAATAATATAAGCCTTGTGAATGCGACCAACAACAAGGCTGTATTCTGTGAACAACATAACTTAATTATCTTATATTTTGTATTTTTTTGATGAGTYTAGTCACTAAAGCTCGATCAAATCTTCCAAAATAGTTTGTAGCTTTACGCTTTTATAGCGCTAACATGTTAATCATAGACGTGTTTATTTATGTAATGTTTTAAAGTTGTTTGTGAATTTTAAATAACTCGAGCAAATCGTCTTTCTTCTACCTTATAAAATAAATTCATTGTTTTTGGATATTCCAAGGCTTTGATCTACTTTGATAGATCTCTCGGCGTTTTTCATCGAAGAAAATTCAAATTTCGCATATTTTGAACCCTACAATAACCCTCATTCACGTGTTTTAATAATTCATCCCTGTGTACTACAAACAGGATTACATAATGTCCTTGAATGTTTTCTTTATTCTGGGATATTTGTGAATCATGAAGAAACATCGAATTTGTATTTTTCATTCATTTACAAGACTTACTAATTAATTCGAAAATGAAAAATGTGAAAAATGGTTACTGTTTCACAGAAAACCTGTAAATGTAACTTGATAGTGAATTGTAAGTTTGTTCCTACAGTAATGATTGTTGATGTCCCAACTTTACAGTATTTAAGGAGCTATCATTATTTAATGGGGGTAGGGTGGGGAGGGGACTGCATCCATTGTGTTGTTATCATTTCTATTTTTTGTTGTAGCAAACCTTCATTCATAGTTCATGTGATCCAGTACGATTATAGTACCTTTAATTTATAGATCCTATACTTTAAAGTTTATGATATAAACACAGTGGGAATAGAAAAGCACTCACATGCTTGCTTCTCTCGTGTTTATCAACTTCCACCATATTTATATCAGAGGACAGAGACACGCGTGCCATTTCAAATTTCTTAAATAAATTTTAAAGTGAACCTTGGGCTACCTGTTGTGATGACAACCAAAGAAACCATTACTTCTTTAGTTTTTTTAATTACATTTACTTTCCTAACAGGCGGCCAGTGTAGTTCGTTCAGTTGCTGTTGCTTTCAAGACTATAGGACGGCTACTTCGTGAGAAGCGTGGCAGAGAARAACGCCAGAAAAGATCTCAATCCATTACCAGCTCTGAAAGGACACGTACTAACTCTGAAACATCAACAGTAACATCAATTGATGAAGCATTAAGAGCATCTCAGCGACGACATGCACTATACCGTGAGAAAATGGACAGGGAAAGTAGTTCATCATCTTTACTGCGTTCTCCTAGGTCCAAACGATCAAGAAGTCTATCAAAGACTAGCCCTTCATTCCTTAGACATGGGGGAGCTCCTCACTTATCTGGTCGACATGTTGAGTTTTCAGCCTTGTCACCAGTCCCATCTGATAGCAGCGACAATGAGGCTAAGAAAGACACACAAGATATCATGGTCAAGGCTGAGGTGAGTGTCATGACGTGATAGTTTTGTATTCATTTGATTTCATGAAGACTGAGTATAAATCCCTTAATAATCTCCTTCGGTTACCACAGCTTTCTTCAAGGTATTCAAGAGAACTTCTGAGCTTGCGGTGATAGAATAATATTGTCACAGGTGTAAAATGAGTTCTCCTTCATTACATGCTGACTGGTCATCTTGCTTCATTACATGCTGACTGGTCATCTTGCTTCATTA